TGTTCAATTTAGGTAGTCTCAACCGAGATGTTTACTTATGTCTATCTATTTTTGCTTTCATTTGGTTTCAAAATATTTTTGCACATCAAATAAATTTTTTTTTTTTAAAAATGATTCCTTATATATTGAATGTGTTGTTATTGTTATTATTTGCACTATTTTATACATATAAGGTACATGCCAAAATACAATTTGCTTAAATTATTTTTTAATAATTATTATAAATAAATAATGCAGCATGGAATACAAAATAGTAACAATATTGAAATTGGTTGATTCAAGAATGAATACCGGATGTAAAAGTATTCTCTAAACTCATTGATTCACAAAAAATACTAACAATTAATGCTGATTATCAAAGAATATCTAATATTGGAACAAAAGAGTATATCAACTTACAATTTCATTAATCATCGAAAACTTTTTTCCCTAAGGCTAACAAAACATAATTCTTAGAGAACAAGAAACAAATAAATCATGAAATAAAAATCAAAGCTAATAGAATTGAAAAATTACATCATATCAATTTTAGAAACTAAATAATTCTATACTATTTTATACTAAAGTATATATTAATTGCAAAATAATTAAATAAGAAATTTAGTTTTTTAAAATTCGGCCTACATCATTCTCCCTTGTTTGAGAAAATTCATCCTCAAGTTTCTGTTAATTGAAATATTTCAAAAGTCTGCACTTGTCTGCATCAACCTTATATTTGAGGTTAATTTTCTCAAACCCAAGCTTTGAAAAAGTCTTTCAAAATTAAACTAATAAACTTTTTCAATAAATTTAACTCATCTTCTTTATAACACAAATTCCGACAGATGAAATTTTGCCTTGCATGTTTGAGAAATTGATTTTCAAATGGACTGTATTGAAAAGTCCACGAATTGTAATTTTGTTAGAAGAGTAGTACTAGAGATTCACAAATTGATTCTCTAAATTTACCGACAATGATGTGATAAGAGAGATAGACCCACACAATTGAGTATGTGACAAATTATAAATTGACATATATCATGTCACATTATTGTAAATTAAAGTGTATGAGGTTTTTTGTGAATTTAAACATTTTCCTTGGTAGAATAAGCCCATTCCTAACTTCACTTTAACAGGTTTCGTTTTTTTATTAAATCAATCTTGTAATGAATTTTTGTTCTCTGTGTTAGATATGAACAATATGACCCCGTCAATGCGTTTTAATACGAGCCTTTTTCGTCGATCCAGATGCGTCACTAATTTGAAAAATTTCGAACATAGGACCAAAATTTTGATCATACTCACGATGCCTAAATTTATTATTGACTTCATGAATTTCAATCTTGTAATAAATATTTATCAAATTCCGGAGATAAATTCCAATTAACGTGTGATTCCAAAAATAAAGTATTTATATGATAATATCTCATTGCATTCTTTCTCTTTAAATATTTTGTAAATCGTAGTAGTTTCTAGATTAATTTCAATTTTGTCTTTTATATCATTGATAAAATTTCTTACGTCTCCCTTAACTAAAATTTCTTTCATAGCTTCTGCAGGATACTCATGAAGAAAAGGAAATCTCAATTAACTTGTGAGTCGGAAGAAAATGAATCCAAATTCATAAATACATTTTTTTTTTTATTTTCAGACATTTTTAACGCATGATGTTTCATTGGTCTTTCATTATGAAAACTTAGCAACCAAGGTTGCGGCTGTCGTTTTCCTTATTTTTTGGGTGAATAATCGTTTTCTTGATTCCCTACTGTATTAGTCTCATAAACTTCGTCTACAATACGCCTCCTTGGTGACATTACAGCAAGATTGTAACCGTGTTCGAAGATGATTCAATGCACTGCGAAATGTGAAATAGTAATAATTTTGATCGGTTTTTGAGTTATTGATTCACAAAGAACATCGAGAACAAATACTCAATAATGGTCGATTCTAAAAAAATACCCAATGTTGAAATAAAAGAATATATCAACTCATAATATCATTAATTATAATATATATATATATATGGGATTGCCGCTTGCAATTGTGGCAATTAGTGGTCTTTTATCAACGAAGGATAAGAGCAGTGTGAATGAGTGGGATAAGATCTACCACAGCCTTGGTGCAGAACTATAAAGAAATGACAAATTTCAAAGCATGAAAAAAATATTGTCACTTAGTTACATTGATTTACCTTGCCATCTAAAGTTTTGGTTTCTATATCTAAGTGTTTTCCCAGAGGATTGTTTGATTGACCATGAGAGATTGATTCGGTTATGGGTGGCAGAAGGATTTATAGAAATGAAACAAGGAATGACGATAGAAGAAGTTGCCGAGGGCTACCTCAATGAGCTAATCAATAGAAGCTTAATTCAAGTTGCAACGAGGAGACGAGATAGAAGGGTCCAAACGTATCGCATCCATGACCTTTGGCGTGAAATTATTGTTTCGAAGTCGGGAGAGCAAAACATTGTGACACTATCCGGTGAACAAAGCAGAGCGTGGCCTAAAAAAGTACGGCGCTTATCAATCAACAATCATTGGGAATATGCACAACAAAGCAAGCATTTCACTGGACTTCGTTCTTTGCTTATGTTCAATGCAACAGATTCACTCTCCATGTTGTCTGTTAACATATAATATACATATAATATACACCCCCACTACCATGTGTAGCTGTAAAAGACCTTGCATCTGTAAAGGCCACAATGTGTAGCTGTAAAGAAGAGAACTTTCACTTTAGCTTTAGCTTCTCTCAATGTAAATTACCTGGAATCCGATTCTAATTGTCTCCCTCTCCTCTCTATAAAGAGAGGGAGCTTGCTCTCTTGTAATACACAGAAACATAATATAACAACACCAACTTTCAGTCCCTCTCTTTTTCTCTCCCTCGTTACCAACCTTACATTCTCTCTGTTCTCTTCCTCGTTACCAAACTCACATTGTCCATTCTTGCATCGTCCAATGATGGTCTACGGTTGCTAACCGTGCTAGACTTGAGAGGTGCCTTGTTGGGGACATTCCCAAATGAAGTTTTGAAACTACTTCAACTCAGGTATTTAAGTTTGAGGGGAACCAAGGTAAAAATAATACCGAAGTCGATAGGAAACCTTCAAAACCTGGAAACATTGGACCTTAAACAAACGTATGTTGTTGAGTTGCCTGATGATATCCTGCAGCTCCAATGACTTCACCATATCTTGTTGTATCGCTACATACAATATGAGAGTCCAATTCGTTTTAAATACCAATGCGGATTCAAATACCCGACGGAAATATGAAGTTTGTCATCCTTACAGAAACTTTGTTCTATTGAAACAAACCATGATAATGGGACCATTTTGCTAGGAGAGGTAGGGAAGTTGACTCAACTGAGGAAATTACAGATTGAAAGCCTGAGAAATGAAGATAGGAGGGTGTTATGCTCGTCCCTAGAGAAGCTTACTAAAAAAAGTACTTTTTGCGACCGCTACAAGCCGTCGCAAATAATAAAAAAACAGTTGCAAAAAACCTTTTGCGACGGCCCATGCGACGGCAAATAGGGGTCGTGAATGTTGGCGTGGAAAATACTTTTTGCAACCGCAAAATAGCAGTCGCAAACTTTTTGCGACCACCTAATCTACTTATAGCGACTAATGTTTTGCCGTCGCAAAAAAATTAAAAAAATACCTACAATGTATTAGCGACCATCTTGTTACAGTCGCAAAAAAAAAAAAAAAATTGTGACTGTAATAGGTACCGTTGCAAAAAAAGTAAAAAAAAAAAAATATTGTGCCTTTAAGATGGCTTCGTATATATACAGTCACAAAATAGTTTGAATAAATGCAACGGAATTTTTCTATCGCAAAAAATAAAATAAAATAAAAAAAACGATGTCATCTTACTCTTTTGATATAATATGTCTTTTTTCACCCATTTTTCATCTTCCTGTCTCTCTGTCTGTATCTCTTCTCTTTCTCTCTCTCACTCATCACTCTTATCTCTCTGTCTGTCTATCTTTCTCTCTCTTTCTCTCTGTGTCTCTCGCCCATCTCTCTTCTCTCTATTTCTCTCATCTCTCTTCTCTACCTCTCTCGCTCATCTCTCTTCTTTCTTTGTCTATCTCGCTCATCTCTCTTCTTCCTTTCTCTCTCTATGTCTCTTTCGCTCATCTTTTTTCTCTCTCTGTCTCTTTCTTTTCTATGTCTCTCTCTCTCTCTCTCGTTCATCTCTTTTCGCTCTTTTTCTCTCTCTCTTTGTCTATACAGCGGTACAAAGAGGTTCAGAATTGTTCTTAGAATCAATACTAGTTTGAAAAGAGTTAATCATTTAATCATCTCACAAAAATATCACAAAAAAAATCAAATTATCACTGCATATAAGCTTTCGAATGTCCCATCGGTACAAGTAACAATACAACTGAAATTTGGACTATTCAAGCTAACAGCTAATGGTTAATTATTGAATTCTAATCATGGAAAATACTACACAACTTTCCAAGTAGACAACCAATAACTAAACAAACCAAATTTTGTTTGAACGAGTGCCTGCAACTAACGAGTAATTTCCAGGGCATATGTGTCCACAGAGAAGCCAATTTTATTTTTTAGGTTTGTATCCTCTTTTATTATCTGACATATTAGGTTCCTTTCTTATCATAAAATAGTTCCTTGTATGAACTTTTTTTTTTCTTTTTTTACTTCAATGTAACTTCCTTTCCAATTCAACAAAAAAAGAAGAAAAAAGAAAAGAAAAGAAGCAGCTATAATCATGATGATCAACCAACCATCAATTAAAAAAGATTTTTTATCAGAGCATACCAAGTTGATTAAGCAACATCTGATAGTCTTTCCTAATGGAAACTTTATATATTAACATAGACTGTTAGTAGAATTCAAATCTGACCTTAAAGAATTGAAATTTTTAGGACAACTACGTACTATAATAAAAAATAGGCAAATAGAGATGAATGAAACTCGTCAAACAACATACAATGTTGAACAATTCCTGGAAGATTCTATATAATAACACAGATAGATAAGAGAATAAACTTACAGTATAATTCTTAACAAGGATGGTAGTCTCAAGTCCCAATTGATATTCCCTTTTGTAATCATAACTGCAGGAAAATAGATCTAATAAATTGTAATGAAACAAATCCCAAAAAAGCATACCAAACTATAATGCTATTTCTTTACCTTAAGTAGCAAAGGTTCTCTTTGATATCCCTAACAGTCTCAAAGTCAGCGGTGCTATAATGTGCTTAAGAAGCGAAAGCTTTAAGGCAAAAGCCTAATCTCCTTTGGGTAGTCACAAAGCTATTCTTAAAGTGCATCATACCAATTGGGGCCATGGTTAAAATAATTCTCAGGAAAACAAGAGGTTAATATTATCATGTCCATATTCAATACAACTTTACATGGAACAACATAAAAAATTTGAAAATATTCACCAAAAACTTGATTCTCTTCTTACTCTGAAGCCACAAACTGCCAGAAAAAGTGAACTTCCCCAAATATGAAGGGTTGAAACCCAATAACAAGAATATGCTTTGGTTAAGATTCTTTACTTTACCCCCATAATTTTTGTTACGTCATGAATATACTTACCCTTGTCACAAATCCAGTTGGTCCATGTCAAAGAGTAAATTTAAATTAAATAAATAAATAAATAATTATATAACTCAAATTATTAAGTAGCAGTGTTCATCCAAGTACAGGTTTGGACATGTCATTTGCTAAACAATGCATATGATTTTTATGTTAGTTAATAAATAATTATATAACTCAAATCGAAATCCTTTGTTAAAATCCAGCCAACCACTAGGCTAGAGATTTATTTATTTGTTTATCTTTTTTGGTGATTGACTGAATTGAATGATTGAATTAAGAATTTTATATCCATTATTGATATCAAGGTTTAAAATGAGAAAGAAGATTAACATAAACAAACAGATATCCACAGAGAAGCATTAATGAAATTTCATGTAGAAGAGTGACGTTCTGTACTCCGCAAATCAAGTATGTACATAAGCCAAACCAAGCTATGGTGTAAAGGCTGTTATCTAGGCACTCCTTAACATAATTTAAGGATTCTTCAAGCTTGACAGAACCTCAAGCCTTGACAGGATATCTACAACTATCATTAACTGTAGAGTGCATTCATGTTTCATAGGCATATGGCTCATCTGAATTTCAAACCTTATACAATGCATAAGCCATAAGATAGGAAATTATGTCTAAGAATAACCAAACATAATTAATAACCAATACATATTTGAATTGAATAACCAATAGTTTGTTTGAGCTAGCCTTATAGAACATACAAAACAAAACAAAAAAGGTCCTCGGGCTTGGTCATTTGAGCTTTGCAGCATGATCAAAGGAACCATTAACAAGCCAGATAGAACTACTTATAATTAAGACAATCTTAATGCCTCAACCTGCTTGGTTCAGTTTACACCCGGAAGGGAAGGGGCATTAATGCTAGTTTGAGATTTGATTACAAAAAAACAATAATAGCAGCAACCTACATAACAAGAGTATATAACTTTTTCCTTTCTTCCAATGTCGAAAAACTAATCTCATGTTCTTCTATTAGCATATTTAGCGTATTTTTATGTCAAACAGTGTATCAAAGTCAAACACTAAAACTTGTTTTATATTGTTACCTGTTAAAAACCACCTACTCTCCACCTACTTCACCCACTTAAACCTACTCCACTAAACCTAACCCACTACACCACTACCACCTCACCTACTCCACTAAACCTAACCCACTACACCACTACCACCTCCACTTCACCTACTCCTTACCTATTACACACTCACCCTCTTCTATATATAGGAATCATGAATCATTGTAATAGATATCAATAAACATCAATCAATAATACATAAATTATTACAAGGCCTGGGCTACTTCCAAGACGTTTCATGTTGGAGATGTCATCATTTTCGAATACAATTTTCAATGTCACGTGTTGCAAGTGCCCCACAAAGAATACCAAGCCTGCAGAAGTGTAAGACAGTAACATGCATCTTCACATACAGCTTGGGTAATGTGTAACTATCAAAAGCACAAGCTTCTTGGACATCCCTCTCTCTCATCTTTTCCCACTTTCAAACCCACTTTAATCATATCTCTCCTTTCTCTTAATTTATTTCATCCACGTTCTTTCACCCTTTTCTTTTATTTTAATATATATATATATATATATATATTTTATTATAATATATTTTCCCTATCCCTTGTTAGTAAGCATCACCCGTTTTCCATATTCTCTTATATTATTTATTTTAATATTCCACCAAAAAAAAAAATCACACTGCTGTTTTTTCTTATCACCCATCCACAATATTTTTCTCTATTTTCTTTATCCATTATTTCTTTTATTTTATTTTTCTTATTAAACAAAACAACACCAACAAAATAACACCAACAGCATTCCAAACAACCTTGTCATTTTATTCATATCAGGGGATCAACCCCGATCACACTTTTACATCAAAAAAAAAAAAAAAACCCACACAAACAAAACAAAACTACCACACCCACAGTGGATTTTTCTTCTCTACTCAGCCGCCGGTCTTTTCTTCTTGCCTCCGTCCTGGGTGGTCCTTGCCGGTGTTGCCTCCGTGCTTCCTAGACCACCAAGCAAGTTGCCTCCTCCCTGCTCCTCCACTACAGCATATGGTGGACCTCCAAATCGGACATCACGGTGGCCTTCCGCTTCAGCTCCTTGTTTTCTGTCTTTAGCACACTTATCTCTGCTCGCGCATCCTTATACATGCGTTGGAGCAGAGCCAGCTGGCGAGTTTAACTGTTCACCTCATTTGTCCTGCTCTGCAGCCGGTGCGAACAGGTTTTGACCGCAGTCATGGTTTCCACACATGACTTCAAGAGTATCTGATTGGCCTCAATATCAGTTTGCACCGCCATTTTTTGCTCCACCGACCGCATCGGAAAGTTCAACGGAGCAAAAACTAGAGGTGTTTGGTTGAGGTTCACTGGCCCACCGCACAGTTATTTCTCTGTGGACTCGTTCATTCTGGAAAGGAGCGTGAGCAGACCACGGGAAGAGGAGGCCATGTCTGGGTAGCTGGACGGGAAGAAGAGGCCATGTTGCTGAGTGTTTTTCAGAGATGGGTTGGTTACAGAGTATTAGAGTTCTCTCTCAGTAAAAGAAGAGTTTTTCAGAGATTTTCAGAAGTTTTTTGTCTGCCTCAGCCTCAGCATCAACCTTGGTTAATAGACGGGCACACGTATCGCGCGCCAACTTGACGCAGACGACAGAATGGCGCGCCAGCCAAGGCACTCACGTGCCTCGCCGATCATGTCCGGCAGCATCTTTTTATGACTTTGGGCTCGCCTTTTGATGGCACGTCTTTTATGGATTGGGCACGCATTTTGATGGACGTCTTTTTATGGATTGGGCACGCCTTTTGATGGCACGCCTTTTGAAAGATTGGGCACACCTTTTGAGGGTGCGACTTTTTAGGGGTCCGACAAGACTCTGTAAACTGTCCCGACATTGATTCCGGTTAGCTCCTTCAAGGGTCCGACAAGACTCTGTAAACTGTCCCGACATTGATTCCGGTTAGCTCCTTCAAGGGTCCCGACAAGACTCAGTAAACTGTCCCGACATTATTCCGGTTAGTTTCTACAAGGGTCCAGCAAGACTCGTAAACTGTCACAACAACTGTCACAACAGTGCTGTTACAACGTCCGACATGACCCGTAAACTGTCTTCTACATCGTCCGACATGACCCCATAACTGTCTTCTACATCGGTCTGATCACGACCACACAGTGTCTGCTACAACGGTCCGACATGACCCATAAACTGTCTTCTACATCGGTCTGACACGCCATCCAAGTGTTCCTCTACACCGTTATGACACCACCATACAGTGTCCTCTACGTGGTTATGACACCCCCATAACAGTGTCCTCTACAACGTTATGACACCACCATCCAGTGTCTTACCAATGGTCTGACACGACCATACAGTGTCTCTAATCCTCTTTTATTTTTATGTATTTTCTTGTTTTGTTTACTCTCTCCAAACTCAAGTTTGGTTGTTCCATCCCCTTGAGTTTGCGGGGGCTGTTAAAAACCACCTACTCTCCACCTACTTCACCCACTTAAACCTACTCCACTAAACCTAACCCACTACACAACTACCACCTCACCACTCCACTAAACCTAACCCACTACCACCACTACCACCTCCACTTCACCTACTCTCCACCTACTTCACCCACTTAAACCTACTCCACTAAACCTAACCCACTACACCACTACCACCTCACCATCTACTCCACTAAACCTAACCCATACAACCCACTCACCTCCACTTCACCTACTCCTACCT